ATTTGCTCAAATAAAGGAAACTGCACGAGGTCTCCATTATACAGTGGTATACCATTTACTGCGTTGTTTAGGTAGCCTAATGTGTTAAGATTCGAGCCTTAGGCTAACGGTACCCCTGTTTGTTGCCTATTACTAGGAGAAAATTGCATGGTTTGATGCTGAGGGTTATCCCGTATGTTACTTTGTGTCCTTCGAAAAAATTCTGACTGATTATTTATCGGCAGCTTGGTTAGTCGGTCAAGTGCAGGGAAAAGGTATTCTGTATTTGTATACACGTCATTATGATTTTCTTTGTATCCAAACCTCAGCCTATCTGTTCTATTGTTTGATGTATAGTAGTTATTATTTTTGTCATTTGAATGCAGAGGTGGCCAATCGCAGAATGGTATAAAAGGTTGTTCACTTTGTATTTTCTTGTTCTCGCCGTTTGGTATACTTTTCCTGCCAATTTGTTTTGCCTAGCCCTTCCACACCTAATTGATCACGTTTCCTGTCTACCCCTATGTTCTCCTTAATCGCATTCTCTTTTAATTCTGATTTTTCTGGTGCAATTTCCAACATCTCTATTTCTGCTGTTTCATTCGTTGGCTCTGCTAATTTTGTATTAGGATTTTTCTTAAATGAAATTTTTGGTTTTATATTTTTAAATATCTTTAAAATAAGAACTTGATTTTTCTTATCCATCTTCTTATAGAGTGCATACGATTCGGGGTCGTGTTCAAGCATAACCGTTATTGTATCTGAATCTTCGTGTGTCATGGAAAAGTTTCGTTTAAACCATCCGTACCGTTATCAATCTCTTCCCCGTGGTCGGACATCATTATTTCTTTCCCCCTTTTTTTTTTATATTAGAGTGATTTGAGCTTAATTATATTAGTTGATTTCAGTCCACGCACGAAGAAATAATTGAGAAAAAAAGATTCCCATTTTATTTCCGATTCTGTATTTCTATTTTACTGGCTTCTAAAACGAGCGGAACTAGCCGTATTCGGGTTAAGTATTATTTTTTTTGTATGTCGTTTCCTTAGCTTAACAACCCCGAGGAACAATAAGTATATATGTTTGGGAGGATAAAAATAATTATTACTCACTCTGACAGAAGGCCCGAAACGATGAGCGCCAATATACTCCAAGTCATCCTCTCTACGATGGGTCCTTTTGAAACTGGATGTTGACTCTTGTTCTTCCTTACTCGATAGCAGCTGCAGGTGACTGCCTTGAATTTTCTGCGCCTGTTGTTACACTGCACTATATGTGCTTCCCGATTGTCGCCCGAAAATTCTGAAATATCACGTGTAAAACTAAAATTTTTATTTCGCGACAAAACCTACCCCACACCTAGCATCAAAACTGTTACGTGGGATTCTAATGGTTCAAGGTGCTTAATAACAACGCGGAAGTTAAACTTAATCAATCACTTTATTGCTATATTCCTTGCGGGTAGGCGCTTTGCGGTCCCGAATTACTTATTGCGACTATCCTCTTTCTAGTCCCGACGTTCTAGAGCCCTGTGGCCACTGCTGCGGGCCTTTTTATGCTCTTTCCTCCCCCGCTTGTGCTCCTTCCTAATACTAATAGCTGAGGCCCATCCCACGTAGTATGTTTCATACTGTACGTGACACGATATAACTTTTTGTCTATCGAGCAGGTGTCCAAATGCATGCGATCCGCTGTTCGGAAACCGTATATATTTTTTTCTTGATGTTAATGTATTTAAAAATAATTCATTTTTATAAATTTACAAAAGATACCTTGAAAAGTCAAATTTTTTTATTTAAAATGACAGTTCAAATTTATTGTATAACACGTCTCTGTAATACTCGCGAAAACTCTTATCAAGTGTTTGGACCATTATAAACTATGTATTCGGCGAAAAAATTACTCAATTATTTTTGAGCTCTTGTATAAATGGATTTTACTTTTTTTTTTCTTAAAAGTTGAACTTTTAGTCTAATTTGGGTCTATTTAAGTAATTGTCATTTTTATCCGTAATTTATATTACGTGAAGTCTGGTAATCTGGTCTAAAACCTCATTTTGTTCTTTGAAATTTTCTTCCAAAAATTGACGGTTTTTAAATAGCATAAAAAAATATTAATTCATTTCTATCGTTAGAGCAGTAATAGATTTTGTTAAAGAAATTTTATCTACTCTACTCCCTGCAGTTATAAACGTATCTTTTTATTTCTACCATAAACCATAACATGAATGATCACTTCGCATTGTGATTGGTATAATAATGATGTAAAATATGATGAAGAAATTAGGTATGACGAATCGGCGAAAATATAGCAATCCTATTGAAGGGTGCACTACGTCCCACCATATGTTAATGCCACCATGAATATAATGGTTTAATGTAGGAATTTGTTTTTTACGAGTCATACACTGTTGAGTTTTCTCAATTAATGTTTTTAAGGCATTAAAAGATTATGATAAAAATTCTTTTTGCTTCTTTATAACTGTCTGTTTGCGATGCAAAAACTAAAATCTCAGTTACGTTTTTCGTCATCTACGTATAACATTGTTAAACAATGATGTCATAACATTTACGTAATCCACTTTAGTATACAGTAAGTAAAAAATCTTCATTTTTAAATAAATAAGCCAAACATTATATGCCGTTGGAAAAAACGCCTAAATTCGAATATAAAAAAATACAAAATGGACCTAGCCTATTTATTTGAAAGCTACAAATTGGCTGAAGGGAGTTCATGACCAAGATTGACGTACCAAGGCGTTTAGTATCATGTGTTGTTTCATCAATACGCTTATACATATGTTTATAGTTGTGGCAAATAATTTAATAGTGTTTAAAACCATTTGTTTTTTTATGTAGTTTGTTTAGTTTATTTAATTTGAAATAATTATAATCAATACTTAAAATGTTTTTGCTTTTAAAATTCAAATGACGATTACAATAACTTTATTTTATAATCATAAGCTACGTAAAGTTTTCATTAATACATTTTCTAATCTCCGAGCTCGCTACACACTTATCAACTCATGGGACTAACGTCAGAAGTTACGATGGCCTAAACGATTGCGAAACCATAATATGCTTTTTGCCAGGAATATTACTCGACTTCAGCACACGTAATCGTTAATGTAACCTCTGTGATTTGAGACGTAATAAAGCTACGCATAACTTTTGAGTATTAAACTTACTATAAAAACTACAGTATTACAATCAACTGGAGTTGAGTCTCATGTTATCATTAGCAATAAGAACAGCACAACAATGGCTGATGTATAAAAAAACGCGAGGCACGTCTACAAATAAGCTGATAGAAATCACTTGACTAAAAATTTTTGTAAATATTTATACGGTTCAGCAAATTCTTGCAAATAGTTCAATAAAAAAGGCGTATTTAATCATCTAAGACAGTTTTTATAAAGAAGGGCAGCAGAAAGCAGACTATCGCGGACTAGTACCCCCTGGTGTAAGTGATTCTTTCCAGGAAGTGACCCTAAATGGCAACATCGCACATTGTTTCCGCTTAATTGACTAGAGATGGTGTTATTGGTAACCAGCTGTTTGCCATAAAAGCAGCAAGAGAGAGAGGGTAGAGAGTGCATATAGCATCTGCGTTGTCTGCTAATGTTTTTGTTTGTATAAGCGCACTGGAGTCAGGGCAATTGTCAACGTTGGTTATATTGGCACATTGAAAAGGCACTCTAGGTCGACTGCGAAAAGAGCAACACTGTAAAGCTACTACCAGGTAGATATGCTTCCCTATTGAAAGCTGCATTCTGTATAGATTATCAAGAGTTGTGGGTTGTAACAATCTGTTATCATTTTAAAGGTAGATAGCAAATACTATCTTGCTTAATGCCATCAGGAAAAAACCTTTTGTAAGATAAGTAACAATTATTGTTTATTTTTAAGAATTCTACCCTGGCAGCTTGATACTTAGTGTGTATATGTTTTTTTTCAGAATTAACTATCTGTAAGATAGATATATAACTGCAGCTATTTTGTGTTGCAAGGCATGAGTTCTTGATGGTATACTAATTGGGAACGATGGGGAACAAAATCAGTATCATTTATTTTATTGTGATTGAAGTCATTTTTTCCTCATCCTTGACCTAAAATTAATATTATCCAATCAACAAGAAGCTGTCTAATAGCTATAAGAGGACTCCTGAGGTATTTCCAAATTTGTTTAGTCTTATTGGTATGCTTATTTCAAGGTGTTCAATCACAATAAAATATATAATTTCAACTTAACTCAAGATTTAAAATTTGGTTAATAACCAAACTTATTTTTAAAAATGTAAACTAATATTATATATATCTAACGCTTTCGAGTAACGCAAATACTCTAAGTGACTGGAAATAAATAAAAACAGTAATATATTATCCATGGAATGTTTCCTGTAAAAATATATAAAAAAAAGTTAATTTTAAGAACTTTTAGATTTCTTGGGAAAAATAAACAGGTGCTGGATTTATAATTAAACCAAATTCGAATTTAGGCAAAATACACGAACACAGTGAAATATATAATCCATTGGAAATTATTTTATCTGAAGTCTTGTAAAAAAAATTATTTTGCCTTATCCTAGGTATTTTTAGCTTATAGAAGAAATGTAAATGCTGATAAATCTATTTTACAGCCAAAATCAGATTCAGAGTGTAAAATACATTGAAATAGAGTAGTATAGTTTGAGTGGCAATATTTTTGTGGTACTACGTAGCTATTAAAAAAAGTTTAACCGCATATAACAGACCTAATAATAGAAGAGTAAGTAGCTTAGATAAGGTAGAAAATAGATGAATGTGTGAATTTAGCAACACATTTCTGAATTGTCTCTACAATGCAATACTAATAATTGATTAATTGATTGGTTATCTATTATTAAAATGTTATTAGCTTAAAAAATTGGAATTGACTTGTTACAGAGCAGTTAAAATTATCTACTAATATAATCTTTTTAGAAAAACTGTTTCTCACTATTTTCTTTTCTTATCAAACTTAATTTCTTTTTATTATTTTAGATGGACATTGAACACTGGAAAAACGTAAGAATACCAAGACCAAAATACTGGAATGAAAGTTAATGTAGATTATTTTTATTGATGCTGAAGTGAATTTTTATTATATTCATAGTACACTTTGATATGCAGAAATTTCTAAAAAAATTGTAACAATTCGTTTTGCAAAATAAAATCTATGATAAAATAGTTTTATTACTAATATTTAATTTTTTAATTATTTTTACTACTTTATATAAAGCTCTTATATTATTTTCTGTTAGATTAGGAGGACCAAAAAAAAACGTCTTTTTATATTTGAAGTTTCTTATTAGTATTTTCATCTTTTGTGGTGATAGTATCATTGAATGCATTGATGTTTGAGACACGTTAATTTTTTTCGCTAAGGTTCCAGTTACATGTACATCATCTATCCAGAAAAAGGGTTCTTTTTGAGCTTCTTGATATAAAAGATATACAACTTCAATTGAATACAAAATCGCCCAACCAGCACAATAAGAAGGATATTTTTTTCCAGGATATTCTTTTGGTGATACACGCCATTTTGAACGCCATGATCTTTTTACATTCAAAGTCAAAACAGCATCACATAAAATAATTTTTTTTTGCTTATGTAGTAATGTACCTTTTTTTAAAAAACTTATCAATGCAGGAACGTAGACAAAAACATCATCATCTAGTTTTAACACGTATTTAGCATCTGCAAAGGAAACAGCTTTTATGTTATGCATGTATGGATGTACTAATAAAATAGTTAACTTGAATTTTGTTATTTACTTGAACAATGATAGGTTACCCATTTTAAGGCCATCACATGTTTATAAGTAATATTCTTATAATCGTCTAAAAAACTCCCTTGTATAAGATCTTTATGTATTACGTTTTCTTTTACCAGTTCAGCTTCGTAATCACCTGAGAAACCGACTAAAAAGAGAGTTATAGTAGATGATATTTGCTGACCCCATGTTTCTCTAATTACATTCCGTTTATTTAAATTAGCTGGTGCAGAGTGAATCAACATTAATAAGTATGGTTGCGTTTGATTGCAAATGTGATGGTTAATGGTAAATTGAAAATTATTGATATCAATTAGACTTAGTTTATCATTTGATATTGTGCTTTTATTGAAAAATTTCAAGTCGATGATGGAATTATTCTTGAGTAATGTTACAGATTTCTTTATATTTCCAAAAGAAGAAAGTGCATTTTCAAAAAACTTGTAAACAAAACAGGAGGAAATATATCCAATACAAAATAAACACATGTGAAATATTGTTACATGAAATATAAACAAAATTAAACGTTTTTTATTTGGCATCCTGAACAAACTTTTATTTTTTACGCTATTGTATTGAAAACCATGACATAATGTTGTGAAGCACGATGCTGTTAGAGAAAAAAACGGAATTGAAAAGTTATAACATAAGCTTGAAACCTTCTGCAAGTTAGTTCCTGTTTATGACTAAAAAGATTTCTTTTACCATCATATCTGTACACGCTCATGAAGTTTTTACAGAAAGAATTATAAGTTCTATCTAAAAGTAGTTCCATTTATAAAAATATTAACTTTAGTTGGCGATCTGTACATACTTGAAGAAAACTATTGTAAAATCCTTGATTACTATGACTTCTTACGTGAATCACTGAAAAGGCATCTGAAAGAATAACTATATGTATGGATTGTTATTAATACACAGTTTCATAATGATAATGTATCTCAATATATGATGTATCTCTCTTTATACATACATACATATACACATTTAATAAAGTTACAAATAAAATCAATCATGTATAATTTTATGAAAACATTTAACATTAATAGAAAAATCGTGACACGCAATGTAAGAAGTAGTTCAATTAGCTGTGTTTAAGATATAGACGTTAGTATAAGCTCCTATTAGAGATACTAGTTCGAACTGACATGTTCCTTTATTATTGAAAACTTTTTATTTATACTTGTAAAACTTCTGAAAAAAGAAGTATTATAATATTTTTGATGTAAGATTTTTCTATACTTAGCTGGTGAAAAAAAAAAAAATTTTATTTTATTATATTTATTAGAGTAAGCTAAAAGTCTACTAGATCTACTACCAGCTAGTATTTATATTATTCGCAAAAATAGTAACAATAAAAATTATTGTATATTATAGAACGACTGATTAGCGCGAAGAACCCAGGGGTAAAAGCATTACTAGTATACATCTTATTACATGTAATAATTTTAAGAACCTTATTTAATCATGTTTCCTTACTACTGTCTCCACAATTTCCTGCAAAATTTTGTATCCAGCTTCCACAAGAAATCACTTAAAGTTCCTCTATTTCCTTCCTCATTTATAGCCAACAACAATTGTCCTACTATGAGCTAGCTTGATCGAGCTATTCCTCTCATAATTTTTAAAGCTTTCCCACGGCTCCCCCGAATATTTCTTTGCATAGTCACTCTATCGATTGTTTTCATTGATTTATTATGCAACTACTACAGTAATTAATACTTTTTGTAAATGCTACACTGTATATAGTTATAAGGACTAAATTCAGGCATTGACTTTTTCATGTTTTTCTGTAAAATTTTATGAAATTCTTTCAGCCGTCTATGCTATATAAAATTTGGTTCTACGTTGTATTCAATAATGATAAAAAAAAAAAAAAAAAAAAAAACAAAAACAAATATTTGCATTTGTAGCTAGATTATGTTATGTATCTAAAATCACTTGTTGAATAACAATAACACGAGAAGACAGAGTAAAATAAGCCAACCGAAAAACTAGTTCATTTTCTTCTAGTATTTTCTCGAAGTTTACTAAACAGAATTCGACGATATGAACTCTTGATATTGACCGCATTTATATTGAAGATGAGCAAAGACTAAGACCGGTGTGACTGGTATATACCTAAAATTGAATATAAATTAGTCTAAAAATGGATACCTTCTTAAGTACCAATAATATTCGATGAGGGATAGTTCTAAAAAATAACATCTGTTGTTGTTCCACCTCATTGGAGCGACGATAACAAAGTGATACATACAACTGGTTTTACAAGCCGATGATTTTTTGCGAGCGCAATAAGTAGATGGTGGAACCAGCTTAGGTAGAAGTACCTATAGCCATAGCCAGCGTAAGCCAAAGCCCCAGAGAAATTGGTCATATCAGTTCTAGTAGCGGAATAAGCTCATACTCCGAGAACCCAGTGATACTACTTCTCGTAGCAGACCCACACTGAAAGAACATTGGTGACGCTGCAGTCCCGACTGGAACGGTTGCGATACCTTGCTTTGGTTTCGCAGCACTCTCCCAGCTTGGAAGAGTTGCTTTCCCGTTTGGGACAGCAGCATTCCCAAAAGTAAGGCAGCAACGATACCAGTACGTTAGGTTAGATATCTTTCTAACTACAGAACAGCTGACACACTTCTTATTTGGTGCAAGAGAACAACCATACTGTCGTCTTAAAATTTGCACGTACGTAAATATAACATATATTTAAATCATACTGAATTATTATAAGTTTCTNAGACGTTCTGACAAATTTTAGTATATACAACATATAGATTAAATTGTATGTTTAACACTTACTCTGTCTCCCTACCACTAAATAGTACAACATTTATAATTATGAATGTAGCTGTCTGTTATAATAGAATAATAAATATACAGTCTAGTACGAGAAAGCAGTACTTTTAAGGATAGAAAAAAATACTATAAAATTCACTTCTTTGCAATTATGTATGACTCTAAATTTTACCGTCGTACTCAGAAATGACAGGAATTTTTTAAATTTTTTATTCAATTGTAATTTTTAAAAACTTTTTGTACTATTTGGAAAATTTAATATGTCACTTTGAAAGAGTATACAAAGTTTTTGAAAGAGTATAACAAGCTTAAAAAAATTGAAATCGAATAAAAAACGAAAAAGACTCCTGTATTTTGTGAGTGATTCTAAAATGAAGGATTTTACTTCAATGTAATATAGTAAATTTTGTATAACAACGTTTTTTCTATCTCTACAACTACCCCTATCCCATGTTCCACCATCTCTTTATTATTATATTTAATCAGGCAACTTTATAAATCCATTCCAATTGTGTGCTATATAACGGTAGGAAGTCACTGTAAGTCTATCATTCACCTTCAGATCTAAAAAATTTACTTTGAATAAATTGATTTTCAAATCAAAGAAAATAAGCATCTGATTAAAAAGAAAAAGCCTTTTTCAATCCAAATCAGTCGATTAAATCTTGAGATGAGTCAATTTATACTTAAACCATTACACCTATACAATTATTCTTTAATTTAATACATTATTTTGCGGTGAAATTCGTGATAATTTAAAATACTTGAAACGTAAATTAAAAAAACAACAATAAATTCTTAAAAATAACATTTTCTATGAAAAATACATAAAGCTTTCACTATGCAGAAGTAAAAAGTTATCAGGTAATTTAATCCACTTCAGCTATATTACTTTCCTACTAATTCATTGATCAAGGTTATAGCCTATTACATCTCATGCTTCTATACATATAATTAGAGACGTAGCGCAAATACTTCACCTAAATAGAAGAGTCATCAAGAATCGGAAAATAGCAGCACTAAGCGCAAGTATAAGCCCATTACCTTACTTGGTGTAAGTACTGTGCGAACAAAATGGTATACCTATACCTTGTCTTGACCGGCGTATTGAAGCACATGCGCTGCCGTTTAGGAATGGAGTGCTCTCAAAATTGGTGAGGCGTGCGTACCACGACGTTAGTATGTTATTGTAACTACAGTTGGTGCTTCAACGTCACCAGCGTTCTCTCAATGCAGAAACTCACTCCTAAGACGCTACTGAAATTGCATATCATGCCGGTACTATCTGTATCCCCATTTTTCAAAGAAAGGAACGTTTGTTTAGTGATAAATCTCTTTTTATCATAAAACCATTAATAATATTCAAGTACATTTATGGCAAAGTTGTGTACTAATTAGTACAGATGCTGACGAACAAAAAACTAGGTAAGTTATGCATTTAAAGAATTTAAATAAAATTTTATCAAATTATCATCTGATTAGTACGGATACTGATTACCAAACAACTAGTTAAAATTTATTTAATTATTTATTTATAGAAATAATGGGCCGCAGGCCCAATTACAAATTACATAACAAAAGTTCGTTTGAGAGCGAAGCACATACAACAATGTTTACAAGGATATAGGTTCAAATTAATTGTATACAAATTAAGATGTAAGATATAAATATATATATATGACCACGGTAAGACAGTGGTTTAGGCTACGGTTCTTGAAGCTCGGGACTCTT